AATCTTAATCACAAAGAGTTTACAATAATAAGAAATAACTGCATTTCTTAATAGTAAAGAACTAGGTCTGAGCTATCCTAATACCCATCTCTTCTAAGGTTTCAAAGAGAGGGGAAAAAACACCAAATCACTACATCCCTCTATCACACACGCAGAGAGAGATCTCAAAGCACACAGCACATACTCCAATGTAAGAAAAAGAAGTCAGATTGAAAAAGGCTTGCAGTAGAAAAGTATCACAACCAATCAGAATGAGAGCAGAAACAGAGAAGAGATTGATACATTCCCAACTGTCATACAGGAGACATGGGGTAAGGGAAACTCTCAGACTATACTAAGCTAACTAAACTGTTCCTCATTGTGGACTTGAGACTTGGGCAGTGTGAGATTGAATTTCAACAGTTAGATATATGAAGATTTGAAAAAGGATGCTATGATATGGTGGATTAACTGGAGAGAGATGTGTCAGCAGCTCATTGGCTGAGTGTACCAGGGGCCAGTGTTTTGATTGGCTGCTACCTCTGACTGGCTGCTGAGACTAACTGTTCTAACTATCATTCTGCCATTGTTCTCACTTTGGACAGTGAAGAGATAGTACTGGCTGCCAACTATCTTAAGGACTGATCGTTTTATGGCATGAGGCATATTTCAAAGATTATTTAAAAATACTATTTTATTCCTCTGTTCACTGCCTGTATTCAAAGAGACCGATGTATACGTTGTTACCCTGTTTGAACCTTTGAACCAAAGTAAAGATACTGTTATTGTATCTGTGTCTGGTTTTACTATGCTGTTTTATGTTGTTGATTTTATTTATTATTTCATATTTTGTTATGATGTATTTTGTTATTGTCTGTTTATTATGTTGTATTATTTTGGGTTTGGCCTCATGTTAGCCGCCCCGAGTCCCCTTTGGGGAGATGGTGGCAGGTTATAAATAAAGTGTATTATTATTATTTGTTTCACAAGCCTGATTGACATTTTATTATACAGCAGGATATACTTTGATTTAAATACTGTGGCAAAGCTACTTATTCTGCTTATTCACATTTACCAACCCTCACAAAATCATGGAATGGGAGCCATGTAGTTATTCTGCTTGATTCTTACTGTTCTTAATTTTAGTGCATTTTTAGCAACATCTCCTGTTTTAGAGGGGTTTTTCTTCTTTGCAGAAGTCAAGTGTATTTCCTTGTAGCAATACAATTTATTTAAAAGTATTTCCTGGAGGGAGAGAACTTAGACACAGTAACAACAAAGTCTTAAGTTGTCAATGTGACTTGCACAAGAATAACTTATTAATGCCAGGAAAAGTTTGCTGTGTTATAAATGTCCTGCATAAAAGACTTTAAAATATATCCAAGGATAGATCCACCTTCTCAATATTGAAAAGAGAACATTTTGGACCTTTGAATGGCGCCTGAATTTTCTTGGCTCAGTAATAGTAGTTAAAATGTAAAATAGAGTCTATTCTCAGGTCATATACACAAATGACTTGTCAGGCCTGAATTCCATTGGCATTGGCTGCTGCTCCATACTTCACAGGTCATACACGAAACAAAGAAAAGCCTGTGTTCACATCAGTTTTAAAATGGTGAAGACCCCACCTGTATTGGGCACAATTTGTTGATCAGATCATTGACCAGGCACAGGAAAAAGACAGACCTGTGCATGGGATACCTTTCTACATTCAAACAAAACTTTTGTTTAGCCTGATGGCTCATATCTTGTAATGCAGTTGTGCTTCACATGACTGTACTAGCATATTCTGTACTATGCAATCTATCTGTCCAACTGATGAAATAGTTCTCACTAGCACAGTTTGAAGAGAATGCAATTCCCCCTTTTCCATTCACTGTCCTTCCCAAGCCCTCAGAAGAATTTATTTATTTATTTATTTATTTTCAGTATTTATATTCTGCCCTTCTCATCCCGCACGGGACTCAGGGCGGATTACAATGTACATATATAATGGCAAACATTCAATGCCATAGACACACAACATATATAGACAGAGACACAGAGGCTATTTAACATTCCTGCTTTTTCATGAGGGTATCCTGGCCACCAGGGGAGCTGTTGCTTCACTGTCCATTTTTGACACTGATGAAGTACTTCCTCATTCTTTGCATGTTTGCTGGAGATTGCTATGGTGTCATAAATTAGCCTTCCTGCATAAGCGGAACCTAAATTTCCTACTTGACAGATGCAACTGTCTTTCGGGCTGCAAAGGTCGGCAGCAAGCTACACAAATTGGTCGGAAGCTCAGTCCGACCCAGGCTGGCTTCAAACTCATGACCTTTTGGTCAGTAGTGATCTTAATGCAGCTGACTCCCAGCCAGCTGTGCCACAGTCCCAGTTTGAATTGAGGGCCTAGACAAATAAAATTGTGATATGAAAAATGAAGATGAGCTGAAATCTTGACATGTGGCATTAAAATGGATCTCCTACTTAAAATATGACATAGAAAAAAGAGCAGAATGACAAGAGCTAAACAAAGAAAGTGGATACATGGCAAACCTCAACAGAAAGATAAGGTCTTTTGCTTTTACACAGAACTAAATTGAACAATGCATTGGCTATGGTATCAAAAATATCTTCTTGTCTTCCTCCCCTCAGTTTTTTGGCTTTACTCCAGTTATCCCTACTGGGTTTCCTAATCACAAGAACAGGTTTGTGAGTTGTAGAGGGGCTGCAGTAGGCTTTCAGAATTCCCTGCCTCTATTCTGCTGGTTCTCTTTATTCTGAAATGGAATGCCACAGTTATTTTTTCTTCTGACAGGTGTCACACACTAGATCAGGAACACCTTTCCACCCAGCATCAAACAGAGCCCAGTAGTTTCTAAATACAGAAGTTTATTTACAAAAGGCATATAAAAATAAAAAGGCCTGTCTCCAAAGCAGTAGAAAAGGTGCTATAAAATAGCAATTGTCCAAAGTGTAAAGACCAGTAGTCCAAGATTGTAATGTCCATGAAATCTAAGGTAGCAAGAAACATGAAATCCACAGTAGCGAAGTACATGAAATCCAGAATAACAAGGTACATGAAAATCCAAGAAGTCATAGCATAGTCAAAAATCCATAGTATGAAAATAAGAACTTAAAGGGTTCTGGCCCAACTTACATGTCCAAATGCATCTCCCCTTATGAACCATCTAGGACCTTAAGATTGTCTAGGGAGGCCCTGCTGTCGTTAACGTCTTCGTCACAAGTATGTTTGACGGAGACAAGAAACAGGGCCTTCTTGGTGGTGGCCCCTTGGTTGTGGAACACCCTCCCTATAGGTATTTAGATAGGCCACCTCCCTTTTAACATTCCAGAAAAAAGTCAAGATGTGGCTTTTTGAACAAGCATTTGCAAATGCAGAGTAACTGACACAGGAAAATAAAACGACTAGACAATTAGTCCGGACAACATTTTTAAGAAGGAGACACTATGAATTTATATTTTATTGATTTGTTTAGTTTTTATTATATATTATGTTTTAGTTGTATTTATGACATCGTAAGCATTGAATTGTGCCCTGTTAACTGCCTTGAGTTGCCTATGGGCTGAGAAAGGCGGTATACAAATACAGTAGGTAGATAGATAGATAGATAGATAGATAGATAGATAGATAGATAGATAAACTTAAGCAAGACAAAAATCCATATAGAACCATAGGCAAACTTGAGAGCTGGTCTTGACGAAGAACTCAGGAATACCTAAGAAAATAACGAATTGGCAACCATTTAAGGACTCTATGAATTCAGAGAAAAGTATGATAATATTATAACTTAATTAGACAAGAAGGAAAACAGTCTCAACAACGAGGAAGGAGAAGCACATTGTGGAAAGAAAAAGTTATTAGAGACTATGTTTTAATCATGAAGAACTAGATTGGAAGACAAGAGGTCCCCCCTTTCCCTCTCCTACTATTTCCCTTTCTTCCCTTCACCTTCCCTAGATCCAATCTCCACTCTCCCACCTACCCTGTCCAAACCCTACCCAAACCCTAGCCCTACAACACTGCCTTTCCTTTTTATTTGTATGTACACAAAGAAAGCCCTTAATAAAAACTATAAAAATGGGGAAAAGGCCTTTCTCCAAAGTCAGTAGAAAATGTGCTATATAATTGCAATAGTCCAAAGCATAAAGGTCAATAGTCCAAGATTGTAATGTCCATGAAATCCAAGGTACCAAGAAACATGAAATCCACAGAAGCAAAGTACATGAAAACCAGAATAACAAGGTACATGAAAATCCAAGAAGTCATAGCATAGACAATAATCTATGGCATGAAATTATAATTCATGTACATGAATTCAGAATGAGGAAGGACTCTTTCAAAACACTCCTGTGACAGCCCCCCTACTGTGGAATGGCATCCCTTAGAAGTTTTGACAAAAATGTGTTACAGTAGACTCTCGCTTATCCAACATAAACAGGCCGGCAGAAGGTTGGATAAGCGAAAATCCAATATTTCAACAGAAAAATAGTTCAATACATGGGTAACATGTAGTCATTACTGTATTTACGAATTTAGCACCAAAACATTTCAATGTATTGAACCAGCTGTGGATCTGGGCGGGAGGCAGAGTGCACTGGATAATACAGCGCGTTGGATGAGCGAAGGTTGGATAAGCGAGAGTCTGCTGTACTAATGGCATTTAGAAAACACTGTAAGATTTTTAAAAGTGTCTCAGAATGGGATGGAGTATGCTTAGTAATCAAGTTACTTTTTTAATATGACTATAGTGTTACTTTGTATTTATTAACTTGCTTAATATTTCTAAAATGTGCATTGACTGCTTTTCCATTGATGTTTTTATTTAACTAAGATAATTAGAGTGATCCTAGCACAGCTCCTAGTGCAGTAAATGAGATAAATATTTTATATCAGAACATTGCTCTTCTTTACATTGCAGCAGCTACAGTATATGACTAATGGGAGAATGCAAAAAATAAAGAAAGTAAATGTCTCATCTAACTTCATGTCTGATCCAATGTTTTATTTTCAGGGCTGATATCTGCCTCACCTTTATGTATTCCATCTTGTGTTCAAAGCAGTAATGGCAAAAGAATTCATAAAAAACTGCTGCAGAGGCTGTCTGTATATTGGGAAAGAAAAGAATGATGGTGAGTTAAGTTGATGTTAAATGCTACATGCTGTTAATTTGGACATATGTCTAAACATTTTTTGCTGTTTCTCATTTCATAATATTGTTAGTATGAAATCTAACTCTTGTGCTGGCAGGAACGCTGACCGAAAGGTCGGCAGTTCAAATCGAGGGAGTGGGGTGAGCTCCCACCTGTCAGCTCCAGCTTCTCATGCGAGGACATGATAGAAACCTCTAAAAACATCAAATCATCCAGGCATCCCCTGGGCAACGTCCCTGCAGACGGCCAATTCTCTCACACCAGAAGCGACTTGCAGTTTCTCAAGTCACTCATGACATGAAAAAAAGCATGAAATCTGAGAAAATCCAGTTGTGATCTTACAGTAATATTGGTAATAGCCAAATAATATTCATATACAAATGAATATAACTTCATTTTTCTCCAGAAACACTCCAGCATATTGTGGAGATTGGGGGAAAGGGGTTACTCTGGTTGAACCTAAGAGCCGCCGCAAACTAGCCTCCTGCGGGAGCAAACTGTGCCAGCACGTCCCTGACGTCATGAGACTCCGCCTCTCTCTCCGCCCCTTTCTCCGCCTCTTTCTCCATGCCAGAGTGGTTTTTCCTTTGCTAGGGCAGCATTGCCAGCGTACTCTCGTTGTTGAATTCTGTCAACAACGAGAGTACACTGGCAATGCTGCCCTAGCAAAGGAAAAACCACGCTGGCATGGAGAAAGAGGCGGAGAAAGGGGCGGAGAGAGAGGTGCAGTCTCATGACATCATGGACGTGCTGGCACAGTTTGTTCCCGCAGGAGGCTAGTTTGCGGCGGCTCTAACAGGCATAAAATGCCCTCTCAATAGAATTTTTATTTAATTTTCTTTTTAACTACAACAGTTTAAAGGTGTGGAAATTCCAGGTCTGAAACCATTCTGAATCAGTAACTGTGCTGTTTTAATTCATGCTCCCGTGTTAGTTTTAATCCATCTCACTTTTTAAACTATGTTTTGAAAAACCGGGCTCTCAATCCTGAGAAAAAATATGGGTATAAATAAAAACAATAGTCATGAATATATTTTAGAGATGAGTCTTCCTGTTAGGCTTCTCATAGAAATCGATAATTACTTGTAATATGTATTTTGTTCTCCGCTTGCCTTGTGAATGACCATAGAATGTCTGCTTGTCACAATGCATTTTTAAGTATGTGAGAGATAGACAGACTTCTGTGAAACCAGATAAGTTTCCTTGGCCAAAATTATGAGGATTATTTATTTTACATTCTAAAATACAGTAGAGTCTCGCTTATCCAACATAAACAGGCCGGCAGAACGTTGGATAAGCGAAAATGTTGGATAATAAGGAGGGATTAAGGAAAAGCCTATTAAATTATCAAATTATGTTATGATTTTAAAATTAAGCACCAAAACATCTTGTTTTACAACAAATTGACAGAAAAAGCAGTTCAGTACACGGTAACATTATGTAATAATTACTTTATTTACGAATTTAGCACCAAAACATCACAATGTATTGAAACAGCTGTGGATCTGGGAGGGAGACAGACTGCGTTGGATAATACAGAATGTTGAATGAGCGGAGGTTGGATAAGCGAGACTCTACTGTAGTTAATATTATACCCAAAATTATGAGGATTAACCTTTTACATTCTATAATAGTTCATATTTGTGACCAAGTTAATATTTAATATTCAACTCCTGAAAACTTTTAATTACATTTTAATAGGCATCTTCTAATTTCTTTTTCCATAGTCAGATATGGTAAGAAACTGAAAGCAGATCTGGATTTCAGACCAATTGCTCTCAGGATATTTACTCTCCATTGTTATCTTGCCCTGGATACAATCAGCAGGATGGAAAAACCTATTCTCGTCCTGCTAAAATACAAAAGCCCGTTCCAGGCTGTTCACTGAAGAATTAATGTACTTGCCATGCTTTTTGTGTCAAATAACAGCTTCTCTGGAGAAGGAGTCTGAGGTTACAGACAAATACAAATCAAATATTGTGGAGAAACCACCTTTGTCTTCTGTGCCGGTGAAACGGCAGGTTGGCTGTTCAGAAGATTATCTTCTCTCCAAGCTCCCTCCAGCTGGCCAGGAAGTACCCTTTGTGGTCCCTCAATTCAAACTTGCTTACGTCCAGCCCAAGAACCTGGGTCATTCATACCGTGGAGGAGTTCAAGGTAAAAACAATGGAAGAGAACATTATGACGTTAAAGCAGTGTTTTGGTAGACTGTCTTTAGATAGGTTTGTAGAAGCTTGTTTAAATGATGGAGGTTATATCATATATTGTTTCCAAGGTATTTGATAAAGAATTGTGATCTCAGGTTTGCAGCCGCTGTCAAATATATGTGACAGATCCCCTCTCCAGGCTGGCCCAACAAACTCTTGGGCAAGGTGATCCCTATGCGAACCAATAGATGTGTTGTTGTATGAGTTCACCATGATAAGCTTGACCAGACTGTATCAAAATTTTAATATGGAGAGCCAGACACCATTGTAAAAAAAAAAAAGTAAAAGTTTGATGTGTTGTCAAAGCCTTTAAGGGCAGAATTAATGGGTTGCTGTGAGTTTTTCGGGCTGTATGGCCATGTTCCTGTAGCAGTCTCTCCTGATGTTTCGCCTGCATCTGTGGTTCTGTTGGCAATGAAGCAAGTAGGGTGTGTGTATATATCTGTGAAATATCCAGTGTGGAAAAAAGAACACTTGTCTGTTAAGGCAATTGTGAATGTTGCAATTATCAAGCTTGAATAGCACTGAGTAGATATGAAACTGCAAAGTCAACCAGAGACGGTATCTGCATAGTGGTAGCCTGGGCTTTGTTGTCTGGAGGCATCCTCTGTTTGGGAAGTGTTACCTGGCACTTGATTGTTGGCTGACTGGAGCTGTACCAAGGTCTCCAGTCTTTGGTCCCAGGTATACGATAGCTGCGCTCCCCTGCTAGAACATCCAAACAAGCTCATGGAGTTGTCCTGTTTCTGAGAGGTTTTTTTTTTTATTTACTTTCTTGATTCTGGGTTTTTTAAACACTAGTAACCACATTTTGTTCATTTTCATGGTTTTCTCCTTTCTGTTGAAATTGTCCATGTGCTTGTAGATTTCAGTTGCTTCTCTGTGTAGTCTGACATTATGGTTGTCAGAGTGGTCTGGAATTTCTGTATTCTCAACCATTAAGACAAATTTACATAACATGTTAACACCTGAACAAGGTAATCATTTTCAGCTTCCCAAATTCCTTATCAATTCTTCACTCTGGCTGACTATTCTGTCTTTGTTTCGGCTTTTCCTACCTCTATCAGTGTATCGACACCAGACCTGTATAACCTGTGGCCCTCCAGGTGTTTTGGACTTCAACTCTCAGAATACCTAACCATTGGACAGACTGGCTAAAGCTTCTGGGAGTTGGAGTCCCAAACACCTGGAGATCCACAGGTTATGCAGACCTAATCTACATGGTAGAATTAACATAGTTTATTTGCCCTGGTTCAATATTGAGCATTCAAGAGAACAAGAAAGACCTTGTAAAACTACAACTTCCATGATTTCAAAGCTTTGAACCATTATAGTTAAAATGGTGTCAAACTGTAAAATTATGCATCATAGACATACTTAATGAAAGGATTGAGACTAGAATCTAGTCCTTCGGGAGATGCTAGCGGGGTACAAATAAAGTTTAATAATAATAATAATAATAATAATAATAATAATAATAATAATAATGGAGTCTGGGGCACAGAGTCTTTGTCCTTTCATTAGTACATCTATAGCAGTGGTTCCCAACCTTTTTTTGACCAGGGACCACTTTGACCAGGGACCACTCTCCAACATTAGTACCGAAAGAGTTATGGATCAGTTTTTGGTCAACTTTAGATTCGGTTTGGTTATTTGGGGTGCTGATTCAGAAAATTGCATTGGATCGACCTCATTAGCTCTAGTTTCTGATGCGGAATATATATCATCCAGATTTTAAAAAGTCTAAATGTATACATTTTGCACCAAGTTCTAGAATATCATGGGCTCTTGAGGGAAAGAAATTACCATATACAAATCCTCTCTGTCACAGTTAGAAACCATTGATTCTTGCTTACTAGTTCAGATAGTGTGTCTGTGGTTTCAGGGACTTACCACACAACATATACAGTTCTCATAACTATAAGTAAACACTGTATTGCTCTTTGGGTAACCATTAATCCCAGAATGAACGTTCCTGGTTTTTACTATGATTGATTTTAGTTTTTTTAAGGTTGCTGCTTCTCTTTATTGAAAGCAGAAGCCAATCAAACTTGATATAAGTTATGATTTCATTTCAAGAAAACTTAATAAAACATTCAGGCAACTTAGACAATCGTTTGCATTCCAACTGTTATTTCTCCTACTTAATCTTGGATGGGAGGGTTAAGCTAAGGTCTTATTTCAGGCAAATAAGGTTTCTATGACAATATGTCCTTTTGTCCCTCTTTTGAATCTGTTGGCTGTAGACTTCTTTTTTTCCCCGAGTGCTTTGGATGAGAGAACAGTATCTTATTGTGAAATCTATGCTCTTCAAGGACTCTCAGCTCAAGGAATGCTTTCTAAGTCAGGATGTTTAATGTGTACAACATTCCTGATCTTGCAGTCCTAAAAACCAAACAATCCATTATGTTGTGGGTCTAGAAATGCTTGCCTTTAACTGTGTAACACTAACTACTAAAGATGTAACAGTTCTGGAATTATAAGAGCAGATGGGAAAAAATACTATATATCAAAATGATGTATGGATTATAATTTTGTGTAACATACTTGGGCTTGCTCCTTTTCCTCCTATATTTTGCTGTAAGATGTGGAAAATCCATAAAGGTAGGGTTTTGGGGGAGAGGTTTGGAAGAGGAGGGGGAACATCCTCAGATGCTTCAAATACAAGGTTATGAACAATAGCAGGTCAATGGTTCCCTTCCCTTGTTCTAGACATTGCTGTGAGAAATTAATATATATATATATATATACTGCTAAGCAAGAGTCCTGGAATCTTATTGTCATCAACTCAGGGCTCCACCTTCAAAGTTCTTTTCGTCTGGTCAGGGCTATATGCTACAAGCCATGTTTTTGAAAACTGATTTACCAAAAACAATAAGATTGTGTAAGAAATTTCTCTCTATAGCTAATAATTGTAGACATTTCATTTAAAAGTGATCTCTTGGGCCCAAATTATAAAGTGTTGAAATGCCAATACGATACATTCTGACATGCACATAGTGAACACTTTTTGTGTGTCATTCCAAATGCATGAATATACATATATGGTACTATTCCATTATTTTGGTGGAGTCCACTAGGGGCCACTAGAGAGAGAATAATAGTCTATTTTATGAGGGTGGGTTGAAGGAATAAACCCATTTCCCTTTTTTTTCTGTTATTCTCCCCATGTGTCCCAGTTGTGGAAACCACCCTTGTTTATGATATGGGAAGTGGAGAGGAAGAATAACCAGAGAAAATGGGGGGAATGGTTTTCCTCCTTCAATGTCTACCCCCCACCATAAAATGGAATATCCTTCTTTCCCTAGTGCCTCCTAGTGGCCTCCGCCCAGATAATGGAACAGTACCGTATATGCATGCTCGGTGAACACTTTTTGTATGTCTGTAATAGAATAGTTTTAATGTTATTATTGAGTCTGCAAATGTATGTAACAATACCAAGTAATGCAAGTGCGGAGTTTTAATAACTGCTGTTTCTTTTATCTGAAAAAGAACATTATACTTTTTCATATAAATACCCAGGGGAAGTATTTTGATCCAGGAAACCCTTTTAGTTTTGCAGGACATTTTCCAAAGCAGCTGCTAACCTTTACACAGACATGCAATCCGGGAAAAGGAAACATTTGCTTTTTGACTCTGTATGATGACCTTTTGCACACACATTACAAAATACTTTAGTAAATGCTGAATGGTCTAATATAAATAATGCTTCACAGGTTCTGCTGTGGCATCTTTTGGTGACCGAAAAACAGAACTTTCCAGTGCATACCAACAGAGACCTCTTGTTGATGTGGTGTATAACCCATTCTATATGCACCACCAGCCGCCACCACTTTCTCCAGACTTGGTACGATGTTGCCCAGAAAAAATGGACAATAGGAGACTGTATGGGTCAGGTAAAATGAGCTGTAATACTACGCACTTTAATACTACACTGTAATACTACACACTCTTCACTGCCTCCAGATAGAATAATCTGTGATCCAGAATACAGTGCTACTCTTGGGTGTGAAGAAGTTACTTTCAGAGTCCCTATGCAGTCTTTCGGTATAGCTCTGTTTGAGCTTTATTTAAAAAAATGTTAAGAACTCCTGGTATAGAATGATGATCCTGGATACTGTGTCCCTTGAGTTTTCTTCAGTAGAGAAGGAAAGAGAGAAGGAAAGAAAGTCAGAAGGGAAGGAAGGAAGGAAGGAAGGATGAAAGGGTGGAAAGGAAGAAAGGAGGGAGGGAGGGAAAAAGAGGGAGCTAAGGAAAGAAGGGAGGAAGGAAAGGAAGAAGGAAAGAGAGAAGGAAGGATAGGATGGTGAGAGGAGGGCCTGAGAAAAGGGCCCAAGGGACCGCATCTGGGCCCCCAGGCCTGGGTTTGCCCATACTTTCATTAGACAGAGTAAGGCAGATGCCCCAGCTAACAGATTTAAAGTGTTATGAAAACGCAGTGAATACTCATTTAACTTTATAATTCTATTTTTAGTACTAGGCATAGGGAGAGGATTTTGTTGAGATTTAATGTGTTGTGTGCCAAAATAACTCACTAGCTTTGAGTATTATGCACCTTGACATGGTTGGATGGGAGCAGCATTTAAGGTTGACAAATGTCTTGGACTGAACACTTTTCCATTTTGCTTTGGCAGTATCCATGTTTTTATGTATGTGCTTTATTTCAGACATATTGTACTCATACTTTAAAATTAACTAAATTGATAGCTACTCTTACTCAAAGGGAATGGAACAAATATATGTCATTGTTTAAATACATAGAGTTTATTTGAGGTAAAAAACTAGTTCATACTGGTTTGAACCTGAGGAAAAAAGTGTATCTGTGATTACTAAATTGGTTGCTAGAAATAGAAGCTGCATTTGAACAACTTGGAAAGCTTTGAGTTTGTTGACATGGTCTTTTTTTAAAGGGACTAGCACTATCTACAAATCAACAAGTACTAATTTTAACATAGGTACCAGAGCCACCGGTGGTGCAATGGGTTAAACCCTTGACTGAAAACCGACAGGTCGGAGTTTCAAATCAGGGGAGAGTATGGATGAGCTCCTTCTGTCAGCTCCAGCACCCCATGAAGGGATATGAGAGAAGCCTCCCACAAGGATGGTAAAACATCAAAACACCTGGGTGTCCCCTGGGCAACGTTCTTGCAGACGGCCAATTCTCTCACACCAGAAGCGACTTGCAGTTTCTCAAGTCACTCCTGACACACGCACAAAACATAGTACCACAAAACTGCATTGAATTTTCTTATGTGATTTAGTCACATTGCTTGGGGAAAATAAAAAAAAATGTGATAACATGAAAAAGTCTTAATATGCTCAACAGAAATATTTTTTTCTGTGGACACAAATCAGTGGGAAGTGAATGGTTTCCATTTAGTTTAATGGAGCTGGTGAAGGAAGATTGTGATGTGCAACATACTTGTAGCTCTCTGTATACGCCTGAGATGCATCCATTCATCTTTAGGGTGTGATTCTATTTTTTCTTTTGTTTCTGAATGTGATCTTTATCCCTCCTCCCCTTAACAATCTGAAGACCACTACATGTGCAACTTTCTTTGCTGTTTTTGAGCTTTCAAAAAGTGCCCCCTTTTCTATTCCTCTTTGTAGTTTGTGACTTGCGGAGCAGCACATTGCCAGGCTCATCCTCTTTTAGCCATTCTATGTTTGATCTTACAAGTCCACCTCACCATTTTATCCAGGTGAGTTTCTCGTGTATTTGACTTATATTTCCTCACCTTCCCCACAGAGACTACAAGGCTATTCAACCCAGGAATCCGTTATTATTTTTTGCATCATTAATCTAATACTTAAATTGCTTAAAAAGCCACTCTATTTTAAGATGAATGAATTACTATATACATTATTTTGGCGCTTTCAAAAGCCCTGCTCCACTGGTTCCAAATGCATTTCAGACTTGGCTATGTTAGCAAAATGTACAATATTTAACATTTGGCATTTAATGTCAGTACGTAACTAGGATAAACATTTTGTCATTAGAAAGCATATGATGTGCACTGGGGAAAAAGAGGGCTTATTTTTGTTCTGATCATAGCCTGAGTACATCCAACAAATTCTGAAATGCCTACAATGTTTAAATGTTGGCCACCCCTCCTACTGGCTATTAGGCAGGTTATTCAATATGTATGAGAATGAAATTTGAGAGTGGATCAGTCTGAGTCAGACTGCCCAATATTTACCATGGATACCAAAATGCCCTGGAATTTTCTCAAGTATTCAGATCTTTGTCTCCCAGTATCCTAGCCCAACATTCAACCCACTACACAATGCTGCTTCCTAGGTAAATGGTACACCAGGTGAATTTGCATAGGTGGTCTTACATTGATTTTTTTGTCTTCTTGACTAATCAGAATTTTGTTTTATCCTATAGCGATACGACTCAGTGTCTAGTGTTCCAAGCAGCACCTCCTCCATGAAGGACTCACAAGGTAGTAACAGGAGTTTAGGTAAAAAGCACTGTTTTCTTGTCTTGCCTTAAGTCTGACAGTAAATTGGATTGTATATGATATAAAACATGTTTATTTTATTACTGAAATATACCTCTGACAACACCAGCTTATAGCTAATCATATAGACCTTGGTTTCTAAGAGGCTTCAAACCTGCAGTAACTACTAACCATGGATATAGATTTAGTACAAATCTATATAAATAAAAATGTAATGTTCGTTTGTGGAATAAACATAGCTCAAAAACCACTGGACGAATTGACACCAAATTTGGACATGATACACCTATCAGGCCAACGAGTGACCATCACTCATAAAAACACTTAAAACACAGCAGGAGGGACTTAAAAAGCCAAAAAAGCAAAAAGGCGCTACAGCTCATGCGCAAAAACGACTCCCACTGGCAAACAAAACACACAATAGCATATCCACACTCTCTTCTGGACTACAGTTTCCAGCATCCCCTAGACCAGACCTTTTAGGGAGAAGAGAATGATGCAAATGCACTGCTTTCAAGCTGCAAGCTTTCTTCTCCTTGGATTTCTTTGAGAGCACCCCAATCCCTTCATATTTCCCATTTTCTATTCCTGGACTACAACTCCAGATAGATAGATTAGATAGAGCAATTGTTCTCAACCTGGGGTCTCCAGATGCTTTTGGCCTTCAACTCCCAGAAATCCTAACAGCTGGTAAACTGGCTGGGATTTCTGGGAGTTGTAGGCCAAAAACATCTGGGGACCCCAGGTTGAGAACTACTTAGATAGAGATAGGTAGGTAGGTAGATCGATCAGGAGGACTGCTGGAAGTAGCAGTCCAAGCATAGGTAGAGAAGGAAGAAAGGGGGAAAAGAAGAAGGGAGTGAAAAGTTGGGAGGGAGGGAGGGAGGGAGGGAAGAAGAAGAGAAGGAAGGAAAAGAAAGAAAGAAAGAAGAGAAAGAGGGAGGGAAGGTTGGCCACAGCAATGCATGGCGGATACAGCTAGTTCGGAAATAAAAATGTTGTAGAGTAAGAAAAGTCTAATCCTGAAGTTTAATCTGTTCTTTATAAAGTTATCGAGATATGTCCCATCAGCATAACTATTTAGTTGATTTTTATCTTTCTTGAGTCAATAGTTCCAAGCAAAACAATGTAAGAAATGAAACTATTGCTCTATTTATTTCTTCAAACAAGATGATCCACACGTCTCCTCAACATCCCTAGACAGTCTTCTCCAGTGCCTCAGTTAACATAGGATATGTGTGTGTGTGTGTGTGTGTGTGAGAGAGAGAGAGAGAGAGAGAGACCTTGCTGCAAGAAAACAAAAGAATCACTCCATTGCAACATATCAGTTTAACACCTTAATTCTGAAAGTGTATGTTGCCTTTGTGCAAAACACAGTAAATTCCTGTGTTTGAAAGATCAGTCTTCATAGTCATATACTGGCTATCCTGAAAATTTAAGAGGAGAACAGCTATTAATGACATTTTCTCTGCCTTGCTTTCTTATTCTTCCATCTTCAATCCATGGGGAAGTTGACCGGGCTGAAGGTTGATCTTTCAGAGCAGAGGAGCTTACTACTTTTTCACTAACCCTCTAGAGCAGTGGTTCTCAATCTGTGGGTCCCTAGGTGTTTTGGCCTACAACTCCCAGAAATCCCAGCCAGTTTACCAGCTGCTAGGATTTCTGGGAGTTGAAGGCCAAAACATCTTGAGAACCACTTCTCTAGAGAAAGTTTTTTGTTTTAATTTAACATTTTTAAAAAGTAACTCAAGAAGAAAAAAATAGGGGGGAAAGGGTGGAAACATCCTGGAATAAGAGGGTGAGGGGTTGGACACACTTACTTGGAATGTCACAGTTCTCTGCTGACAAAACGCTCCTTCATCACAATACAGGATATCACCCTCTTATAATTGCTACCTGTTTTCTGGAAGAGGTCCTGCACTTTTTAAGGAGAGTTTTTTTCTGACACTGGGACCTAAGGTGTAGTAGTGATGAAAAGGTTAATGTACTGGATCCTATTAGTACATATACTCAGATTTAAAGAGTTCTGGCAGGAAAGTCGTTTGCAACCCATTATCTTGTTAATAATGAAAATGTTCATGGTGCATGTAGATTTAATCACAGATTGTGGAAATGTTGACAAAACATTTCTGGATTCAAAAATATGCATTTCCTTTTAGACAATAGTTACATGAATCCTGGCAGTAGTAGGTGTGTGAATAATTGTAAGCAGAACTAAAAGAATTGTTGGATTTGTCCCTAGATACCATTACATTGTCAAGTGATGAAAGAGAGTTTGGCAGGCTTCATGTGAAGTTGTGCTATCTTCTTCCTGTGGAACAAATCTGGATCACAATCTTACAAGTGAGTATGCCTAAGAAGACTTTAAGTAACATGAATCTTTCTTGGGTGATGGAAGTGTCAGACAGAGATTTAGATGGAGAACTAAAATCCTCCTTTTTCAAAAAGCCAGGGCTACTGAGAGTGCCTTGGACAGTGAGAAGATCCAACCAGTCCATACTTCAAGAAACAAAGCCCAACTGCTCATTGGAAGGAAGGATAGTAGAGGCCAAGATGAAGTACTTTGGCCACATCATGAGAAGAAAGGAAAGCTTAGAGAAGACAATGATGCTGGGGAAAATGGAAGGAAAAAGGAAGAGGGGCTGACCAAGGGCAAGATGGATGGATGGTATCTTTGAAGTGACTGGATTGACCTTGAAGGAGCTGGGGGTGGTAACGGCTGATAGGAAGCTCTGGCGTGGACTGGTCCATGAAGCCACGAAGAGTTGGAAATGACTGAATGAATGAACAACAACAAAGGGCTACTGTGAGATCAGCAATGAAGTCTCCTTTCTGCAAAAGCCAGTGCAAACCAGTTTCCTGCTATTCCTGCAATTGGCTGCCCCTCTACTCTTGCCTTTTCCCATTTTTCCCACAGATTCATTGCAGTGCACCTATTCCAAACAGAGAGAAAAAAAATACTGTTACTGTTAGAATTGATAAAGATTATAAAACATACAATTATATTTGGTGAAATAAAACAGTGAAAAATGTATTCATAGCTTCCACTGTCTGTTATACTTATCACAATATCCTCTTCTGTTGTAGTTTTCCTTACTTTTTTGTTTTGTTTTAATGTTATATTTACAGCAGTCATCTGTATATGTACCCTGCAGATCTCTCTCACAGCAAAATTGTTTATTATGCTTTATTATGCAGACTTTTGGGGGGAACAATAGGCATTAGATTTAATAGGATTTACTTCTGAGAAGACATAGGACTGTAGTATTATCCAAACGTGTTTTAGTGGTAGTGAAGAATATAACACATGAAAATAATTTTTTCCCATGTGAAAGCACTGCCCACCCAACTTAGTGCTTAATTAATTATTATAGGTTTTCTTAGCCCTGATAGATGAGATTGTTTAAACTAGAAATAAATCCTGTGCATGCAAGACATCTATTTTATCATTGAGCTACAGATTCCCCATAAGCATGATTTGTAATATTTTCAGTGCTTTTGAACCAGTTTATGCTGGGATAAGATTCTGTAACACGTTTTATGTTGTAATTCATGAATGCAGTGGTGACTAGCATGTATCTTTGGTGTGTGCTACCACTCTCTTAGAGATACTATAATGCCTGCTTTGGTAATAATCTGAATTAACAAAAGGGACTTTTCATGTTACTTCATATTTTATATTTTTGTAAGGAAAAAATTAGGCAAGTAAATTGGTTGTTGGTTTATAAAAAGTTGTGTTTTAAATTCAATTTTATCTACTAAGGCATAATTCGTTTTATATGTTGGGTTGTCGATTTTCATTATTATAGGTGTATTGTTGTTGTGTTTGGGAATTGAATGTTTGCCTTTTATGTTTGGAATCTGCTCTTAATCTTTCCAGGGAGATAGGGCAGAATATAAGATGAGGAAGAGGAGGAGGAGGGGGAGGAGGAGGAGGAGGAGGAGGAGAAGGATTAGAATAACTTGAGTTTCAATTTTTAACATTACAGTGCAAAGATCTGAGCTGGTCCCCAAGCTGTGGAGAAAAACCCTACATTTCCATCAAGGGAGTCCTTACACTGCCCAAGCCAGTTCATTTTAGGTGTTTGGCAAGAGAAGCTTCCAATGTAAGTTATCCTTAAATATTTAACATTTTGATAACTCATTTTAAAATCTCAAAGATATTACATATGCACATTTATTTATTTATTTATTTATTTATTTATTTATTTATTCCCTGCATTTGTGCCCTACTCTTCTCACCCCCAAGTGGGGGCCTCAGAGCAGCCTAAGCACTATAGTATAGTGGCAGATAAACAATAATGCACATAACGAGTCAACTCAGCAGGATACCATGTATCAAAAGCTTCCGAGAGGTCCAGGAGAACCAACAGAGACACACTCCCCCTGTCCAGGTCTCTGCGTAGGTCATCCACCAAGATGACAAAAGCTGTCTCTGTTCCATAGCCAGGCCTGGAACCAGATTGTAATGGATCTTGGTCATTGGTTCCCAACCTTTAGTCCTCCAGGTGTTTTGCACTTTAGCTCCCACAATTCTTAGGAGCTGCTAAGCTAGCTGGGATTTCTGGGAGTTGAAGTCCAAAATGCCTAAAGAACCAAAAGTTGAGAACTACTGGTCTATATAATATATTTCATCCAGAAATCTCTGAAGTTGGGAGGCCTCCACATGCCCCAAAACCTTGCTCAAAAAGGGAAGGTTGGACACTGGCCAGTGATTATCCATTGTGGTGGGATTCAGGGGTGTCCCTCTTCTCTCCTGAAGCAGCTTGGGTCCTGGCATAATGAAGGTATACCTGGCTGCTTCTCTTCTTTCCAGTTTTAGAATTTTAGAGTTCATTTTTGTGATGAATTATTATTTCCTTCTAGGACATAGCATTTGTGGAAACCTTTGTGTTTGCTATCAAATTGCAATTCCTGCAGACTGCAAGACTAGTGCTCAAAGTACAAGCTCAGACTCCCAGGAAAAAAACCCTAGGAGAATGCACTTTGTCACTGCGACAGCTCAGTTCACAAGAAACCGAGCACTGGTTGGTGATCACACCTCCTTCCAAAGCTTCAGTAAGTTAATGTGTTTGTGTTTGGGAGTGCTTTTGAAGTTGTTTGGAATTGATATCATATGAGAGCCTGAAAATATAAATTATAAATAATTCATAATGCACTTGACCATGAACCTTGGACAAGTCACACCCTCTCAGCCTCAGGGAAAGGCAGTGGCAAAACCCTTTTGAACAAACTTTACCAATAAAAAAAACTGTCATAGTCTGTGTTCTGTCTTAGATTCTCTGTGAATCAAAAGACAGACAATTCCAACAAACACCGCTAAATAACGTTATGCTGAAATAGAACAGCTGTCCTGAGGTACTTCAGTTCTACATATAATAATCATACAGAGTTGATTTCATATTGAATAGTATAGTTACATTCCTTTTATTGTAATTTCAGCTCTTTTCATGTGGTCGACTGCTGGCTGCTAAGAGTTAGACGAAAACACTATGAAGTTTTGACTAAGTTATAACCTGTATGGAATCTGAAACAGGTGGAGCTGTAATTGACAGCAGTAAACAATTTCAATACCTGATCTTGGCTATGTTTATAACAGAGAAGAAAATTCCATTTAAAAACAGGCATGCAAGCAGTAGGGGTGAAGGCATTCCTATGCGATTGATTTAGGGGTATATTCACTCTAAGTGATGGTGGAAAGATTTGAATTATGTCTTGCCAGGAGTCCACCAGCTTTTATGCCCAAAATATGCACAATAGTCTATTATCTCGGTAATCAGACTAGCAAACTGACAAGTGTATGCCATGGCTGCATTCACATTCTTTGTGTGTCAAAACTGCTGAATTTTGATCATGTCATTTAACATGTGTATAATAAAATGTTTTGCTTCAGATTTGTGAAAACTGACTCAGATACAAAAAGAACATATTTTTTTCTCTTTCATTGTCCGTACAGGCAAGTTCTGCAGAACTGAAAATAGGCACCTGTTTCCAAGCAGTAAACAGCCGGATCCAGTTGCAAATTCTTGAAGCCCAGAACCTTCCAAGCTCATCCACACCACTGTCTTTAAGTAAGTATTGCAGTATTTTTGTTTGTCCTTTTCTAAATATTTTGGGCTATGGTGGAGTAGATTTCATCTAGTTCAGTTATTATCAGTGTTTAATATAATCTTTGCAATGCACCGCTATTTTAATTTTTTTTGTACTGATGTCAGTGCTAATTCAAGTGGTTACCTTGCTAGATTATGGTTTATTTCTTGTGAAGCCATGTTGACTTGGTTGCTCTTTCAAATTAGCTGCAAAATTATTGATAATGCCATGTAAGAATAGCTGTTGTTGTATGTCTTCAAGTCATTTCTAACCAATCATCATTCTAAAGTAAGCCTATCATGGGGTTTTCTTGGCAAGATGTGTTCATGGGCAGTTTCCCTAACCATTCTCTTGAGACTAAGAGATTGCGACTTGCTCAGGATAATCTAGTGAGCTTCCATGAGTTTCCTCTAAAATCATAGTTCGGTGCTCAAACATGAATATCTATATACTGTGGTCCATATATGCTTCTGAAATATATTAAAGTATTACTAATAAGGAAGCAGTTGTATTCTTTGAGGTGTCTCTATTGTTCATCACAGTAGCTATATTATGTCACTTTTTACTACACATTCCAATGTTGTAATGATTAGTTGTCATACATTTTTGTGCTTCCTGTTTTTAAACTATACATTGGGAAAATATTTTTGAAATAATTTTGCAACTAATTTCTTCATTCTAGATTTTTATGTAAAGGTTTCGAAGCTTGGCACTGAAGGACTGATCGATAAAAAAAAGACCCGACTACTGAAATCTACAAATGGTCAAGTGAAATGGGGGGAAACTATGATTTTTCCAGTGAACCAGAATGAATGTGGTATAAACTTTCTCATCAGACTTTACAGCAGGACCTCAGTGAGAAGAAAACACTTTGTTGGACAGGTTAGTTTATTTTCTACACCGAACTCAAAGAGGTGGTTCTGAAGCAGAGGCGGGGATGTAGTATTGGGATAAGTTCACATGCTCTCCGCTGCAGCAATTTGTGGTCCCAATGGTGTTGGGCTAGGACCATGCTCCCTAACATTGGATTCTGGCCAATGTATTTTAGTGGAACTTTTCCACCAGTGCTTTAGTTAGGGATTAGGATTCCTCTCTTCCTGGGTGGTGAAAAGGGAGAAGGAGCGAAGTACTATTAGGGCCTGTAAATACTGTTTGACAAGGCAGGTTGATTTACTTCTCCTCCTTTGCCTAGAGAAGATGGAGGAAGAATAAGCCACCAATTTGTTCATTTAAGTGAACAAAAATTATCTCAAAGACTGACCTAATTATGAATTTGAATTCAATATATAATTTGTACAATGCTCTATAATGTGTAATGAAATAATGTCATTACAATTTATGCATATGTTTATACAGTACTTTAGGCAATTTTGGTATTGGTAACATTAAAAATTCTCTGTTTAGATGAAGCAAATAAAATTGATCTGGAAAAATGTCTTGTCTTACCCCTAATCCACTAGTCCAAACATTACTCATTCCAGTCCTTCCCATGGGCTTTCTATGTCTTACATCCCATTTCCATCATGATAGTAAATGTTGGGAAATTCTAGATTCTATACAATTTACTTTTTTTGTTTTCACTTCTATCACAGCACTGCTGAAAATTCATGCTTTTCCTAAAGAAAGGGGAAATATGACAAGTCTTTTGCCATGTAGTAACACCACTGGGGGTTTAGCTTCTGTGCTCTATTCAGCTAAACTAGTAACCTGAAAATTAAATACCAGCCCTACTGAGAGTCAAGGTAGTCAAAGACTTCTTAAGATTCATAAAATGAAACAATTTATGCATCAGCTGGTGAATAGTTTTTATTTTAAGTAGCTATATCTGTTTACATGCTGCCATTGCAACTATGAAGGAGGAAATATCACCTTGTACTGCTATTTCAGATAAGAAGGACAAAACTATATTTTCAAGTATTGCTTCATATAGAAGTTTAGGACTCCCAATCTAATATCAAAGTCGCTCACCCCACCCTAGGAGAAAATAGAATAGCCTTCTCCCTGATAAATTCATAAAACACTTAATCTGTTTTTCAAATTAAATATAAAACAAACAGAAAATCAATAATCTATTAAATGTAATTGTTGTTTTTAACTGCTATTTTTAACCATTCTAATTATTATACTTTGTGTAAAAAAACAGAGTGAACCTTTTAAAAAATGTGTTTTGTAGACTTTTGTAATAAGAGTGAAGATATATTTTATTAACATTTGTTGCCAGGCAGATAACAGCAGCACCTGTTAGTCATTAAATGCCTGCTTAAACAAAAAGGTCTACTTGCTGGCAAAAGGAGTACAGAGATGGGTCCAGCATAGCCACTCATAGGAGGGGATTCCACATTCAGGGAGTACTCACTAAGAAGCCCTCACCAGATGAGGCTACAAGATAGCAGGACCATGAGAAAGCTCCCCCCCCCCTCCTCCCCCATGTTATGCCCAAAGATCTTAAGACTGTCTGATCTACTTGCACCTAGTATACTGTGTCCAGAGATATTGACAAGCTGGAACGTGTCCAGAGGAGGACGACCAAAATGATCAAAGGTCTGGAAAGCATGTCCTGTGAGGAACAGCTCAAAGAGATTGATATGTTTCGCCTGCAGAAGAGAAGGTTGAGAGGAGACGTGGTCACCATGTTTAAATATTTGAAAAGATGAAAAGAAGAGGGAACAGACTTGTTTTCTGCTGATCTGTAGACTAGAACTCAAAGCAGTGGATTCAAATTTCAGAAAAGGAAATTCCATTTGAACATTAGGAGTTTGGTAAAGGCTTCTTCTTTGGAGGCTTTCGAACAGAGGCTGGATGGCCATATGTCAGGGGTCCTTTGATCATGTTTTTCCTCTATGGCAGGTGAAGGGACTGGATGGCCCATGTGATTTGGCTCAAATGTGGAGATAAGGTGTTCAGGCTACACCTAAGCCACATAGGGCTTTATAGGCCTTAACCTATATGTGAATTATGTCTGGAAATGAAGTAGTAACTTGAGAGCTGTTTCAAAAAACGAATAATATGTTCCCTGAAACTTAATTAGTTCTGCAGCTTCAGCATTTTGAACCCACTGAAGTTTCTCGACCATTTCCAAAGGCAATACCACATTGAATGTGTTATAGTAATCAAAACAGGATGTAATCAAGGCATGCCTATTCTCTAGAAATTGGTGCAGCTGTCACATAAACTTTAAGAATGCACATGCACTCCTGACCACTACTGGAATCTGAGCTTCCATCAGGACACCCAAGATACAAACCTGAGATGTTCAGTGGAGCATAATACTATCTGGCACAGGCTGAATTCCTCCTTCTGATCTGCTTTATGACTGACTGGGATCTCTCTCTCTCTCTCTCTCTCTCTCTCTCTCTCTCTCGGATTAAGCTTCACATTCACAGTCATGACTACTTAGTCATTATTTTGATACTATTGCTGATAATAACTCACTCCTACCTTATTTACTGGGCATCAGTTACATTAGAAGTCAATTCTGCTAGTCAATGGTATTGTGTTACCACCAAATTTGAAAGGGTTGAGCCAGGAGAAGTTATTTAGTCAAGAATCAGTTAATACAGAATTCCAATCTAAGTTCGACAGGTATTTTAATCACCTTCAACACTTACACAGAGATGTGAGGGAATTGTCATTCCATTGTCAGACTTTTCAGATGTAGTCCTTAATGTCAATCAAGTTGTCTAATGCTGTAAATGCTAGTGTCAATCAAGTTGTCTAATGCTGTAACTCCTCTTAATGCTAGGAGTTATGTCATTTTCATTGTCAGTGTTTTGAACAAACTCCAAGACATCGAATTTTGACACAGCAACATGCAAGAAGTAAATAGAAAAGCTTGTAAGAACAAAGTTGTTTTTCATCAGTGGTAATTCATAAATCTTAAAATAAACTGCCGCCCTGATTCCTCCTTTGTGGAGAGAAGGGCAGGGTAGAAATATATGAAATAAATAAATAAATAGTGATGAGCAAGCAAAACAATGAATGAATATATAAATATTTGTAAAGCATCATTGAACACTTGTTTGAACTGAAGGTATCTTTGTCACTGTATAAAGTAAAAAGCCTATTGTTCATACCACACATGCAAGCCTTTAATTCTCACTCTTTCAGATAATGATTCAGTACTTTTGCTGGACATGTTTCAAAATTCAACACTAATTGTGTTGATCTGTTGTAGACTTAATTTGATCCACAGTACCTGTTTGAATTTGTAATTGTTATGCATAACAGATATCTTTTCTATTGTTGAAAAACAGTGAAACCTCAATTAAAATTGCCAAAGTAGATAAAAGTAATTTCCATATCCCATTTGATATATCTGAATTTTAATTTTTTTTATACAAACACTGAACAAAATACAGCACAAATATGAATATAAGACACGCCCACTACAAGTGGCAGAATATTAAAGCAAATAGTGATATACATATTTTTTTAAAAAAAAATCAGTTGTAAGCTGCAGGAAGATTTCAACTAATGGCAAACTTTTCTTAGGGTTTTCCTAGCAAAATGTTTTCAGAAGTGTGTCACTGCCATTCTCTTGAGGCTGAGAGAAGGAGATCTGCCCACATTCACAAAGTGGGCTCCGTTGCTGAGTGGGGATTTGAATCCTGCTATCCCAGAGTCCTAGTCCATTGCTCAAACTGTATTTCTGATCTTTTTGGCATCTTTTCTGTTCTTCGTTTAAAGTCCAAACTGATGTAGTTATTTTGTTTATGAAGGATTCAAAATAAATGTTGAGTATGGTATGTGTGAAATGTTTCTTTACTATTCCCTCTTCTTTTTCTCCCATGCAGGTCTGGCTAAGTAGTGAAAGTAACAGTTTTGAAGCAGCTGCTCAGTGGCAAGACACAATTACCAATCCAGAGAAGGTTGTTGTCAAATGGCACAACGTCAGTTCAGCATGCTGATGGTTTGGTTGGTTCTTTGGCTTGTGATCAGGACTTTAGCCAAAAGACTTTTATAGATGTTTAAAACAAAGAGCCATTAATTAAGAGAAAAGGACATATGGACTGCACAGTGCCACTTCTGGAGAGGAAAATTTTGTGCTAGAGAAAATTGACAACAGGCAAAATCCTGGAAATATTAATGGAAATCAGAGCCCACCTTTGTTTGTGGCCTGATTAACTGACTGGTTTTTATTGTCTGTAATGGTTACCAATGGACTTTTTGTATATTTATGTTCATCTTAGAAAAAAACTGGGATGATTGTATATTTATGTTCATTTTGGAAAAAAGTTAATATTCTTAGATTTAATTCAGCTTATATTTTGATTGATGATTCTTCAGGAAGACTTTCCCCCTTTATTGTTTTGAAAAGAGTGCCTTAGCTACTATTTTATTTCTCAAGCTTTGGAAGAGGATGCACTTGCTAGGGCTACCTTCATGGTGAACAGACAGAGGCAAAATAAGCAGGAAGGACACAGTGTTTTAAAAACCTTGAAATAAAACTCAAACCATGCATGCTTGCCATGATGGTGTTGGAATTTAAAGGTTGGAGGGAAGAGATAGAATGGCAACTCTTGCCATGTTGAAGTAATTTAACACAATTCTACACTGAAATGTGGAGTTACTGTTTTTGCAGCCTGGGTCTATTGCTCACTCACTATTGTGAACAGAAATGTTAATTTAACAACAGACCCTCCAAGAGGTGGGTGTTCTAAATCGGAAACAAGTAGAGGACAAGAATCAAGACTATGATTTAAAAGTCTCTAGTCAGAATTCCATAATTTAGTGTCCTTCAGATTCGTCAGGCCTTAACCTCCATCCCTCCTGACCACTTGCAACATTAATATGGAGTGATAGCTTTTAGAGAGCACATCCTGTTCAGAAAGTTATGCCAATTGTTGTAGTTTAAGTTTAAGAGAGTGTAACATCTTGAGAAATAAACCTTCTCATCCCTATTAATATTTCAATATGAATATTTCAAGAATCTTTCATAGATACAAATTCCAGGAAAAAAGATTCCACCATAACATAAGGAAGAACTTCCAAATGGTGAGAGCTATTTGGCACTGGAATATGCTGCTTGGGAGTGTGGTGGAGTCTCCTTCTCTGGAGAATTTTAAACAAGCTGAATGGCTATCTGTTGGGCTGCTTTGATTATATGGGTTACTGTATGGCCACCCAGTGTATGGCCCCCGGTGGTGCAGGGGGTTAAACCACTGAGCTGCTGAGCTTGTTGACCGAAAGGTTGCAGGTTCGAATCCAGGGAGCGGCGTGAGCTCCAGCTTCTGCCAACCTAGCAGTTCAAAAACATGCAAATGTGAGTAGATCAATAGGTACCGCTCCAGCGGGAAGGTAATGGCGCTCCATGCAGTCATGCCAGCCACATGACTTTGGAGATGTCTACAGACAACAGCGGCTTTTCGGCTTAGAAATGGAGATGAGCATCACACCCCAGAGATGGACACGAATGGACTTAATGTCAGGGGAAACCTTTACCTATGGCAGGGGATTGGACTGGATGGCTCTTGTGGTCTGTTCCAACTCTATGGTTCCATGGTGAATTTGTGAGCTCAAATCCATGAATAACTGAATGGTTATGTTATATTTTGTGGAGATTACAGCTAGCTGGAATTAGAGAGTATGGGGTCACTTGGGTTGGCTAAGACAAATTTATATGTCTTCCTTACTGTCTAGAAGTTACACATATAAAGGGCTACAATATTCATTATTATTGTTACTTAATTTATATCTTACATTTTCAAGCCTTTGGACTCAACTGTTTACAGAAGTTAAAATACATACAAATAAAAGCTTATGTCGGACAGAAAGTTAAAATATAACTAAGTTACCAAGAAAGTTAAAAATACACACTTTAAAAAGTAATGCATACAGGTTATATAGAGCAGTTTCCCAAACTCTAGTTTTTGAGGTTTTTGGATCTCAGCTTCTGGGAGTTGAAGTACAAAATGCCTGGAGAATTAGAGATTGGGAATCACAGATGATAGGGCATTACTAAAAGCCCTTTCCCCATAAACAGCTGTTTACAAATACCTTACAAATATCTAAAGCTAAACATGTCTTCATCTTCTGATGCAAAGACACTAGAAGGAACTAGTCTACTCAGGATCAGTCTAACTGCAACTGTTTTGACCAATGTGATGTGTGCCATCATATGTTGGCAGTACCCCTCTACAAGCAACACTGGATAAACAAGACAGTCTGCGCAAGAGAAGAAATTGACACGAATTGGACATTAGAAATGGCAATGGTCCAAAACCAGTAGCAGAACATTTCAACATCCCTGAACAAACATGGAATTTGAAGGTCACAATCATTCCGGAAGGAAACTAGAAAGGAAGACTAGAAAGAGAGATCGCAAAAGTGAATTATAGTCAATTCACAGTCTATTAGCTGAGGTATAAACAAAGACAATGGTTTCATGGCACGATACGTGTATTAATATAGGAGTCTTGACTGCTATTTGTAACACAGGGAATTCAGAGGCCTTTGAACATAAGAAAATTGACTTTTGGTTAGCAAATTCACACATCGACACTGAATAACCTAATGTAAAGATCTGAAAAACCTGTATCCTCTTACGCAGCCTTTTGAAAATTTTGGACAAAGCTTATGATTTGTATCTTTCTGGATCCGATTAAGATTCTATCCCATTCCCAAAACTGTAAATATGCTTTATATCCTGAGACCAGGATATCACTTTGTATTACATTGTGGTTTATATCCACAAAAGCACATGCTAAATAAAAACCAGTTAGTCTTAAAGGTGCTGCTACACTTCTTTTTCCCATCTCCTTCCTCCTTTTTAGGTTTTTACATGTTTCCTGTAACAGTAAAACATCAGCACCATTTTACAAATTGTTTGCATTCTCTCAATATAGTTTGGCTGCAAACTCCAAAACATTTGTATCCAATATTTACAACTAATTTAGCTACTCAATTTTATTTTCTTAAGAAATAATACATGATCATAAGGAAAAGACCACCTGCCAATCTCTTGCAAACCAACATTATATAAACATCATATAAACCAGCTCCCTATTAAAGAGCTGCTTCATTGCAGGCTCTCCTGCCAAGAGCATTTCATACCTGATCCTGAATTCTTTCCCCAATATATTTTTTCAAATAATTCTGAACTATGATAAATGTGAGCCCATACTGAAATGTAGAAGTCTTTCCATTTAGATAGAATCACCACCATTCCAACTATTACTGGAATATAATTGTCCACCTTACTTTCCACTGAGAAGTATATCAGGATAGCATTCTTGAACTATAAATATACATTAGTTTATTGTGTATTTTTCTCCTCTGCTTTGTTGCCTCCTTGCATGTCCTTCCCCATCCACTTCTTTTCAAGGTTCTCTTTGGAATTTGGCTGAGTTAGATCCATCAATCTTTAATTGGTGTGGCGTAATGGAATAAATCCAGGTTTTAATAGTGGGTTCAGTTGAGAATTTAAATCTCGGCATGTTTAAACCATGAGGGTAGAATCCAGATTTTTCGTTAGTTAATAATTATAAATAATCACCAGTTGTTATCCTAAAGAAAATTAATACAAAGCAGTTCTTCTACATATGAATACCTGCCTGTTCCAAGCTTGCTTTCATTATGTAAGAAAGAAAAACAATGTCTTATGTTGCATCTGCAATGAAGAGCAGTAGCATAGGGATAGGTATCTGTGCGTGTTGTGCATGTTGACTCAACTGAGATTATAGTTTTATTGACTGAAGTTATAGTTAGAAGAGGAAAAGTTTGTTATCCTGAGTTCCTGTTACTGTCTGATGGCTGGCTGAGAGATCCAGTTACACAGCATGCCAGGCCCAGTGCCAGTGCTTTGTTTAAGAAGGGTGTGAAAGGAATTGAGTGATGAGCTGGTGATGCCAAGTGTTAGCAGTGACGTCATGTGCACAGCTGCTTCTTGGATAATCCCGGATGCACATACAGACTTACAGTAAATCTGAAATCCCTTTATAAACTTTGGACTTTATTGCATGAGGCAGGCAAACCAGCATTGCAGCTAGACTTTCACCCTTGGTAACAGTCCCTACCCCAGAATGCTATGTGTATCCCACTGCTCCTCAATGTGGCATCCTATCAAATATTTAAACATGGCTATTATCGTATGCCTTATTTTGCTTTTTAGTTCAATTTAGTTTTTAAAAACTTGAAATGTGCAATTGCACTAAAATTAAATATTAAGGAACAGTAGCACAGGAAGGCGGGGTTATGGGGATGTATTACAGTATAATTACAGAACCACAAATTGGGGGCTCAGTGCAATTGCAGTAATGGAAAAAGTTACAATGTCGAAGGGCTCAACATGTAATATATCTGCTATCCATATTAACATTAGTGGAATAGTTTGTGTGATAAAGCCATTAGTCACATAAAAACAGCATGCACCTGTAATACTTTAGGTTGCTATTACGGAAAAGTCGGTCCTGGGGAGGGCGGAGATATAAAACACAGTTCTATATGTTCAGAACAACTGTATTTTATATTTCTTTCAGGACCATATTGTTTTTCTATTAAGGCAGAATAGGCAAGATAGAGATTCAGAACTGTGTATTACATATTTTCTTGGCCATTATTCTCAGTTCCTAATTGCTGCCTTTGTTTCTGGGCACCATAGTTTGTCATGATTGGTTTCACGGAAATGGCTGAGATAACTCTAAACAAAAATGAGTTTGCAGCAAGTTAAATTAAAATATGCTTGTTCATCATTCTTGCCATCAGATGATTATGGAGTTTTTTTAATTTGTGGACCTATGCTGATTAATCAAGCATATCATCTTTTATAATCTTTCAAACATTCTTTAAATGGAAAAGCATTCATTCAGGCAAATCTTCTATTGGAAATATATTGTTCAAAAGCAGAGAAACTATATTTGCCGGACATTCATGTCACAAAGATGTCACAAAAGTCAATCTCTCTGACTTCCAAAGAAAGCCAAGATCAATACAGACCACAGCTAGTACACTGCTTGCACAAACTAAGCCAAATAGTGAACAGTGCCATGCATATTTATGCACACAACATACTTAAAAGAGCTGTTCATTTTTGGTCAGACTTGAAAGAAATTCTGCTATAACTCAACTGAACAAGACTTTCCCCACGGACAAACATATGTTGTACGTGCAAATATCTGTGTAAGACTAGAAAAGGACAAGCTCTACAGGCTTTGGTAGCAATCTGAATGGATGAATTGTTTTCAAAGTATCAAAGGAAACAGTTGAGCATGGAGAAAAATTAAATACTAATTCAAGGAGAATATTACTAATAACATTGCCAATTATCTCATTTATTATAATCATGGATTAAACTTTAAAAATCACAAAAAGAAGAGAGTATTATCAGGAACAACATTCTAAAGGAAATAGTCATATGGAAACACAGTTCCCGTAGTCACTGTTTTAATCTATTTAATTAATTAAATAAATTCATTCACTTATTTAATATATATCCTGCCTTTCTCCCAGTACAGGACCTCAAGGTGGCAAGTGTTGTTTTTGTTTGTTCGGTCACTTCCGACTCTTCGTGACCTCATGGACCAGCCTACGCCAGAGCTCCCTGTCGGCCGTGGTCACCCCCAGCTCCTTCAAGGTCAAGCCAGTGACTTCAAAGATACCATCCATTCATCTTGCCCTTGGTCAGTCCCTCTTCTTTTTTCCTTCCATTTTCCTCATCATCATTGTCTTCTCCAAGCTTTCCTCTCTTCTCATGATGTGGCCAAAGTACTTCATCTTTGCCTCTAATTTCCTTCCTTCCAGTCAGCAGTTAGGCTTTATTTTCTGGGGTTTCGACTGATTTGATCTTCTTGCGGTCCAAGGCACTCTCAGAATTTTCCTCCAGCACCACAGTTCAAAAGCATCTATCTTCCTTCGCTCAGCCTTCCTTACGGTCCAGTTATCACATCCATAGGTTGCTATGGAG